TCCATGGGCGGCGATGACTACTTACCATACCAGGGTGATCCGTTAACTCGTCAACCTATCACATAAAAAAAGACTAGACAGAGATTAAAACCTAAGTCAAAGTCAAAAGTCAAAAATCATTTATTTCAATTAGACCCTTACAGGCACTTTGTCGTGGTGGTCCGGAGGTGAAAGCGCCCACTTCTCATGCATTAGGGTGTGGGTTCGAAACCTGGAAAGTACCAATGTGACTTTTTCCAAGTTATATGTACTTTCTATGATTATTTAGACACCACTGACATACGGTGAAGGTAAACATCGTGAGGAAACCTGGACTTATAATTTCTAATTATAAGTTTGAAATCGCCAACCCGCATTGAGCAAGCGTGGTGATTAATGCTCAAACCTTCTCCGTGTGAGAAGAGGCCTTTGCTCAGCAGTGGGCACTTATAGGCTGGTGATGTGAGGCACTTTTGAACGTCAAACAAAATTTGAAGATATGTATAGTGTCAAACTGTCGGTCAGTCCTCTTAGTGAAGCTATTTGCTCCTTCCAAAGTGTAGATTCCGATGGAGAAGAACGAGCAAGAAACTAAGCCGTAACACAGCCGTAACACTTGAATATATGTATTTATAATCAAAAGGTTTAACTTCGGATCAAATATTTATAACAGACTAGCTACTCTCGCGTGGTTTAACCCGCTTCTCGGCTCCTTTAATCGTAACGTGATGTTTTATAGCCTATGGGACTCAGGAATATTGTAGCTATCTATCAGTAAAAGAATTTTGGCATTTCGACCAGCGGTTCCAAAGATTACCCCCTACATACAAACTTACAAACTTACCTACCTTACCTCTTTATAATATTAGATAGACTAGCTGGCTAAAGTTGAATATCAGTTGCATTCCATGACAAAGAAAATTTTCGTTATGAATATTTTACACGCATTTTTTTCATATTTTCCGAGCGGGAGGCGCCGATGGTTCACCTTCAGGTAATCCATCTGCTCATTTGCATTCCTATCACACAACAAAATAAACTTTAAAAGTGCATATGACTCGGAAATAGTCGCCTTGGTGCTTGGCAAGTTTTCATATCTTTGATTCGAATCGCTAGTAACAGACCACTAGTTGTGGGAGCGCCTCGTTACCACAATCTAGCTAGATTAAATAATGTCCTCCGAAATGTCGATCAGTCGTCGTTCGCTGGACTATTATGATGATTGGCTGACAATAAGGAAGCGTTTCTTGTCCAAACGGCTATGGAATTACCAGCAATTGACCACGGGTAAACGGACCTCTCATATACTTGATACCGTTTGTATGAATCACACAACATGGATGAGGAAGGTAATGTGTAGGTACACCACAGGACCTACATACATAGGTCACATCTGTTTATGGTTATTAGTATTGGTGATGCAGAAAATAAAATACTGCCCATGGCTTCGTCCGAGTAAAAATAAATAATGAATCATCTGTACTATCCAATTTTAAGTGTGGGAGAGCCATGCTTCGGCACGAATGGGTCGGCTCGACCGGAGTGATACCACGGCCTCACAGAAAACTAGCGTGAAATAACCACAGCGTTATGTTTCGCCGTGTGAGTGAGGTTACCCGAGGCCCAATCCTTCCCCTCCCCCAATCCCCCCTAAATCCCTAAATCTCCACATCCCTAATCCCTAAAAGGTCGGCAACGCACTCGTAACTCCTCCGTTGCGAGTGTCCATGGGCGGCGCTGATTGCTTACCATCAGGTAATCCGCCTGCTCGTTTGCCGACCTATTAAATTAAAAAAAAATATATATTATAAAGAAAGTAAGTTTGTATGTAGGGGTTTTTTTTTTTTTTTTTTGTGAGGGGAAAATCATCGAATGACTTCTCCCGCCCAGGGCCGGGCAGGAGGGAGTGTCAGACTCTTACTGACTAAAAACCCCCCTGTTCCTTCTCCTGCTCTGTGCCGAGGTCGCGGTACCTCATTGCGCTTACCCCGCAACCCCGGCTGAACATCAGCCCTTTAGGGCCCCGTCTGTGGTGGTCTATTGGGTCTTTGAGGCGCGCGCGGAACGCTACGCGCCATAAGCTCGGGCCTGGTTCTGGTCGGGCGGCGAGCTGCCCTTACTCGCCGACCGCAGGCCCGTACTTACGGTGGCCGGAGATCGTCCCTCGATCCCCGACGCCCGTAGTGTCGCCAGTTGCGGCTGCTGGGGCGTGAGGAGGAGGATTGCTCCCTCACGCGGGCCGCCTCTCTCTTTGCGAGCATGACTGCTTCACAAAAGGAGGAGACGGCGTCCCAGTTCCTCTCACTCCGCACCATGGCCTCGACTAAGGCCGGGCGCGAGAGGTCGCCGCCGCCGATCACTTCCCTGAGGATACGGCGGTGCTCAGCCCAGGCAGGGCATACCGCTACCGTATGCTCCACCGTATCCTCTAGGTGGTCCTCAGTATGTAGGGGGTAATCTTTGGATTCGGATTTCCATAATTCTTTCACTGATATATAGCTACAATGTTACTGAGTGAACAGCGAGTGAAACTGTGCGAGAGTAGCTAGTATGAAATAAAGTAAATCTATACTAATATTATAAATGTGAAAGTAAGTCTGTCTATCTGTCTTTTCTTCACGCATAAACTACTGAACCGATTTTTGTGTAATTTGGTACCTACAGTGAATTTTATGCCAAAAATCTGGAAGGACTATTCCTCGCGAAAGGAGTCGCGGGCAAAAGCTAGTAGACTATATCTCTTTTAAGCCTCCCAGAACAAAAAAATAATCCGACCATTCTATCACTTTCGAAAAGTAAGTTAGGAAAACAAACAAATAAACGCAATACCAATTTAATAATCTTACTAGCTTCTTGTGATTTCCTCTTTACACTTTAATAAATTGTACACTTAGATGCGTCTTCCTCTTGAATCATTCTATCCAAAAAATAAGCGCATCAAAAACTGTCATGTAGTTTTAAAGATCTAAGCATATGTAAATATAAAAAGACGGGAAGCGACTTTGTTTCATACTACGTACTGATAAAGTAGTAAAGATATATTATCCACAGTGTATCACAGTGGTGTGATCCACACCTACATCACTGACAACAATGGCTGTATCATGTTTCCAAATATTGATTTTGTATTCAGTATCAAATACCTGCACAAGATTGTTATGATCGGGAGGGGTTTATTATGTTGTAGTTCCAGTAGATATTGCAAGTTCCTTAGTAATGAAAGATTCCTCCGAAATAGCACCTAACTTGAACATTGATTTTGATCTCATCCACATGAATGATTGAGGGTCGCCTTTGTATTAGTTACCTTATTACACGGTTTTTTTAATGAGAATGATTGAAGAGGAAAGTTTATATGTATAACTAGCTAGTCTCGCGCGCTTCACCCGCTGCTCAGGTAGCTATCTATCAGTGAAAGAATTTTGGCAATCCGACTCGCGGTTCCAAAGATTACCCCCTACATACAAAGTTACAAATTTTACCTCTTATTAATATTAGTATAGATAACATCAATTAAAAAGTGGAGTAATTTAATATTAGCATCACACTCGTGTAAGGTGGCTAGTAGGGATTATTTCAAGAAATGAGGTATTAAATAAATAAAACACATCAGCAATGTAATATATCATTAATTTCATAAACGTATCGCGACAATTAAATACTTAAAATCTAGATATGACTATAATAATATAATTAATCCGTTTAAAATGCTAGACGTAGGTACATTTAATAAAATGTAAATGCGATGAAGATAAAATTGTATTTACATTAAATATTTTATCGAAACATTTATTTATTTGTATGTAAACTTACAACGAATTGTGTAAATAGTAAATACATCGTTGAAATTAAGTTATTTAATGATTGATTTAATAAAGTGTAGGTAAATAATAAATTTATTGGTAAAGGAAAGTTAAACAAGAAAATACAAAATTAATATTATAATACGTATGATTAACAATAACACGAATTGAATTTGTTTTCAGTTTACATACGGTACTTAAGTAATTGTCTAGAGTAAATTTTTAACTTCGAATAAACATACATTTAGGTTTTTATACTTGGTATGAAAAGACAAAATTTCAACGTTTAAATAACACAATAGGTTCATGTATCTTTGGTATCTATCTAATATATAATCATTTAATACATTTTATAATACGGGATCTTAACAAAGATGGGAAACTGTCGGGAAATCGTGTGTACAATTTTATTAAGAATACGTGAGCGAAGTCGCTGAATCAGAGTTGATTAAATAGAAAATAAATATTCCTACAATAAGTAAATCTAAAGGCCATAGTTGCCTGAGCTTAGTAAGCGTTAAAATAAATATATTTATTAAATAGCAACACAAACATATACAATATATTTAAGGGCTGATTTTTCAATAGTCAGATAAATGTTATCTGAGGAATGAAACTGTTGTTGTCACTGTCTTATACAAACATTCTGACGCGACAGCATCATAATTATTCCCCAGGTAACTTATACCTAACCATTGAAAAATCAGCCCTAAGACGATGGTGTGTTGGCAAAACAACATTTTACAATTTCAATGCTTCGAAATTAAACAGTCAATATTTATATAATTTGTCCTTTATAAGCTAAATGTTAGGTTAAGTTTGCGACCAACAAATATCGCTTTTGATCGTTTGAAGGTGCAAATCGGCTTACACTCTTCATAAAGACTTCGCATAGAGAAAATGTAAGATTTTCTTTTCAATAGAGAACATTCACAATACTGACGAAGGTAATGTTTAAAATATGTTACAATGGAAATTTATAAGACCGATTTCTAAATTTATTTTAAGTTATTTATAACATGTTGGTGGGTAAAATGCTTACATCTACATATTTGTTACAAAGATTTTGGAGAAACTTTTCATGAGAAAAATACAGCTTCAAAATCCCAAGACATTTTTTCTAAGACATTTGACAGCTGTTGGAAATTGTTTTCATAGACTATATTGAAAGAACCAATTGAAAAGTCGATAAAATTATATGATAGGAATGTCAAGTTAGTCCGAACTTCCGATTGACTAGAATTGAGAGGTCGACTAGATACCGTACTAAGATAAGTTTCACAGATAGCAATATTCTTGCAGCGCTAAAATAATCTCCGGCAGCGATACACCACTTACATCTAAATAATTTGGTTTCAAATGTGAAACATGCGGCGGTTTCCGAGCTTGTACAACGTGGTTCATTTTGTTACGCTGGTCTCTGTACGTGAAGTGTGTGTCGGTGTATGAGTGTGTTGGTGTGTATTTGTCGGGTGTGTGAGTGGGTCGTCTACCGGCCGAGTCCGGTCCACAGCAGGCCAGGGTCATGGTGGTTGGCACCCGGGTAGCCACCGTCCGCCTCCACGAGAGATCTGCGGTTGTAAGATCTACGTACAACGATATTTTAGACTTAATTATAGTAATGCAGATACAAGTGTAGGATATCTATGGAGATATGTACAAATGGAATGTTGATGGAGATAAGTACAGAGAATTAGGGGACAGTAGAAAACGATTCGAAAAAAGCTCGAGATGATAAATTGAATGCGTTTAAAACAAGATGGATTTTAAGATGTAAAAACGAAATATAGGAATGAGAATACGAAAGCCCACCTGATATTGCCAGTGGGTCTGAGAGGGCGCAGAGCATACAGCTTCCTTATGCCACTGCCGCCGCCGCCGGTATCTGTACAATAAAACAAAATACTTTAAAAACCTACAAAAATCATCATGTATCACAAATATGCGATAAATATAACCTCTTTTGTCAACATGATACTCGTTACATGTATATTATATTCTTTACTTTACTTTTTGTCTTTATTTTAAATTATATTAACGAATAAACTCTGCATGATCAAAGTTCCTAATAAATCACAATGTTCTAGAGTTCTCAAAGCGAAAAATTTCTCTGTAATATACTACCTACCTACCTACTATTTTTATATAACTTTATGTTATTTAAAGTACAAATATGATACCTGTGAAAGGGTTATTGCTGCTAGTAACGAGAGGATTACTAGAACTCGTTTTGTTACCAAGTAGTAGTTAACGTATGCTTTGAACTGTATGTGTATTGTTACGTTCGGCTTGCAGTGACTACTACTATTTAATGGCGTGTTTTAGATTACAGTGGTAACGGCATAATATTTAACCAGAATATTCATAACATTGTTTATTCTTTTCCCTGATCAAGATTAGTTTTCATATTTATAAGTTCAATTTGTTTTAGTTTTCCAGTATACACAGATATTCTGAACAGGAACGACATTTTTTTTAGAAAAGCAATCGACGGACATGGTTCGTTTCGTTTTTAATATAATAGACTAGAGTTTCTCATTAACTTGGGCTAAAGGAAATAATCTGACCCCAAATTGGGCTTTTATTTAAATTTATCCAGCCTTTGATATTTGAGTGGGTTCACATTTTACAGGAAATTGTAGTGGAGACATCTATCCTTATATTTTTTGAAATTTTTAATAAATAAGTAATTCAGGATACATTTTGTTTTTGATATTTATAGATTTAACGAATATTCATAAAAAACATTACTCTTGTACTGTATGCCCCCTTGTCTGAAATTATGATCATCGTACCAAAGTTTTTAGTAAAAACTTAAAAATATTTATTATGCTCATACAAAACATTTTTATAGTATTTCATATCTCCTTAAAGTAGCACTTGGTATTATTCATTTAGCTGTTTTGTAACTCACTATTTTTTCCATAAGGAAGTAAAGTTAGAGGAAAATAATTACTTCAAATATAATTACGTGCTTATAACATGGTTTTAGCGTCAACAGATGTTTCCTGTAATTTGGCCCGTTTACGAGATTCAGGGATGAGTGGTCAACTTCACTCTGTATGTCTATAGCCTAAACGAGACAAGGGTATCAAATTGTGTAGCTACTCCATCGGGTGTAATAAGAATTTTACGACAATAATACAGAAAAACCTTCGGCACAGATGTAACGTGGGAGTTTACTAGAAGGGACATCATCGCTCGACAAGATTCATAAACAAAAGGCCACTTCCTGTTGCAATTTGATAGACATCGTTATTGACAGTTCCGGAGGAATGTACCTCCATTTTCCTAGTTCCCTCGGCAGTGTTGACGTGGCGTAGAGGATACGGTAAGTACCATCCTTAAGCGATTCTAATTGAGATACTGGTAGCGTGGCCGAGTGGACCTCAATGGTGACGCATGAGGTCGTTGCTATCGCTACGAGAATTATGATGTGTTCGAGAGGTAAGTACCCAACTTTTATGATAGTATCAATCTACGGTCAACTCTGATGTGAAGGAATGAAGGAACTATGTTGCTTTGTTTTGTGATTGGGCATCGAGTGTAAAAGCAAACAAGTTAATAATAATTAAGAATTTGTCGTTTAGATTTTAAAAAGCGATGTCTTGTAATATCCCCTTTTTAATGTGGTAAAAAAGAGAAAATTATTTCCGCATTACAGATTTTCATAAAATAGTCTCCAGTTTAGAAGGACAAACTAGCTATTATATAATGGTTTAACAATATTTTAATGTCCACTGAAAAAAATGCGTCGATTGCAAAATGATTGATGTTGATATTTTAAAAGCTATCAAATGGCAATTAGGCTTTGTTTAGATATTTTTTATTAAGATATAAGTAATGACTGAAATCGCATAATGTTCTTTAGATAAAGGAGATTTTAGAATTCAAATACCGACTTATTTTAGTTACAAATTTAATAAAAAATATAAGTCTAGTTTACATTTCTTAGACAAAAGTATTTTGTAATTTTTTTTATGTTTTATACAGGTGTAATTATATAAAGATTGTTATTTTTACATCAAATCTATCTTTCACATCAAACCAAGTGAGTGTATTTTGAATGATTGTTACCATTAGTTTGAAAACGTAGAACTTAATTGTGGCCCAGAGCAGAAGAAGGAACGGGGGGTTTTAGTCAGTAAGAGTCTGACTCTTCCTTACGCCCGAACTTTGCGGGAGAAGTCATTTGATGATCACAAAAATTGTACCTAATAGCTATACATATATTACTGCTGGCAGTAACAAAACTGTATAGTAATTGTAGTTACGGAAAAGTTATGGACATTTATATTTAACGTCATGTCACACGTAAAGTGACTCGTTGAAGTGTAAAATGCGTGTCATAAGGTAATGAAAAAGATTACATAGTTAAGTAGGTTGAATTAAAGGTCATTTTTGTTAGTGGCCGCGTTGTGTCCTTAGAGATATGACTATTGACAAGCGTATAAAAAAGTTGTTTTCCTTAACATTATACAGTGGAAATCCCGTCCCATGTAGAAAATTTATTCATGTTCAGTGAAAGATAAGTTCATTGACATTACAAGGATAAAAAATTGGCTACAAAAAGTACTTATTGAAAACGTTTAATCAGTCATAAGATTCACTCATCGAAGTTGTAGGAAAGGAAAATTTCGTTGTCACGTGGGTGTAAGATAGGTCTACTTTTAAATGGTGTTTTTGAAAGCATAATAATAAAATGCCAATAGATTTGCCATTTACAGGACCTAAATATAGCCTGTTCCTCGACGAGAACAGTTGTACAATATAATCTCATTCCTTGTAGTCAACATTATCCAATTTCCGAGTTGAAAATAGCACCATCTGATAGAAAAGTTTAATTGCTTTGCGCTTGCCTATTTCTACGCTAGTTACTTCAGTTAAGTTTAGTTTCTAAAAATGAGTTTATCATAACTATAACTATGTGCTAGCCAATTAATGTTATCTGTCCAAGGGTTTTTAGTCTGACTAACGTCTACTGTTAGTTTTTAGCATATAGTCAATGAATGACTTAATAATACTAGGGTGGCAATATTTAATATTATAATTTGGTTTTTAAGAATTCTTTGTCTAATTGTCTAAAGTATGTCAAATTACTGCATTAGCATTCAGTCAAAAATGTATCTTGACATTGAGTTAATACTAGGATGGCAATATCTAATTCTATAATGTCGTTTGTAGGAATTCTTTGTATGAAACATGTCAAATTACTATACATGCATACCTGTATATCATACCACTGAAAAACGTTTTAAATCTTTGTTATCGTCACATCATCAGCCTTTAAGTGCCCACAGCTAAGCAAAGTCTTCTCACACGGAGAAGGTTTGACCAATAATCGCGACGCTTGCTCAAGGCAGTTTGGCGATTTTAAAATTATAATTAGAAATTACCAGTCCAGGTTTCCAAACGATGTTTTCCCAACACCGTATGTCAGTGGTGTCTAAATAATCACAGAAAGTACAAATCTATAACTCGGAAAAAGTCACATTGGTTCGTGCCAAGTTTCGAACCTGCATCCTCCTGCATGAGAAGCGGGTGCTTTAACCTCCAGGCCACCACGACATCATAATTCGTTTAACATATTATAGAATTAAGCTATCTTAAAACGTTCCTGTAATTTCATAGACTAGGCTGGTATAGTTAGTGTGTCCACCGAAGTTTAATTGGCTGGGCAGCTCGGCAGTCTGTCTGCGTTGCAACGTCCCACAAGAGTTGTTCACGCCATCATTGTGTCAGTTTATCGCACACGAGTTTCCGACAAACTTTTTTTATTTATTAATAGTGAGAATGGAAATGTTTTCGAATGTTGTTTAGGTACACTTCTGATTAGATTGTATCTACTTATGTGACGCGTTATATGAAGTTAGATTACCAACGTATTATTGTTAGGCACCTACTTAATTCGCCATTAGATAAAACCTTTAAACTGTGATTTTATTCATTTCATTTTCTTTTGAGGAAAGGTTTCGTAATCTGTCGGTGTAATTTTCATCTTCGGCTCGACCGGACTGATACCGCGGCCTCTCGCGGCTTGCTTTGCTTACCATCAGGTAATCCATTTGATCAATAGATTACCGTCCTGTCACATACAAAAAAATATTGGTCCACTATATTACAATTAGTTTGTTGTTCCCAGTCTAGATAAAATATGTGGAAAATTTTGTATGTTCTCCAAGTTACACTATTTGTTTCGTCTGTAAGTATTCTTTTAATATCTTAGTTAAGTATACAACATGTAAGTAAATAAAGTTTGAGACTCAATATTGAATGAGGTTGGTACAGATCTAAAATGAACAGAGAATTTTGTGGATTTTCATTTGTGTATACATTCGATTAATATGTCATTGGAACACGTGTATCGTGCCTATCATAAGAACAAGCTATGCATAGTAATGTAATAGCTTCGTTTATATATCAAAGTACGTGCTTGTTATTTTTACTTTTGTAAATGATTTTAGCATGTACCTAGATATTAAGACTTTATTAAAACCTAAAGCTATTTTGATAACGTATCTGTAGATCAATAGTATCTGTAGAAACGTTTGTTTTTAGGAAAACGCAATTAACTTTCACCCTTTTTTTGTGAGGGGAAAATCATCAAATGACTTCTTCCGCCCAGGTTCGGGCAGGAGGGAGTGTCAGATTCTTACTGACTAAAACCCCCCTGTTCCTTCTCCTGCTCTTAGCCGAAATCGCGTTGACTCATTGTGCTTACCCTGCAACCCCTGCTGATTATGTTAGATAGTAGTCTGCAATATAGTAATATCTACATCCTAAAAGAAAGTAAAAGGTTGCACAGTTATCCTTAAAAAGAATAAAGTAGTAATATCTTGTAATATTTTGAGTAGCGCTTTCAAATCAATAATACTCAATTCTGTAACATGACTTACTGGAAGCTGGCGCTGGTACGACGGACGGAGGGTCCTGGAACAGTGTGGAGCGCTCTTGAGGCGAGAGAGACACCAGCGTCTCCAGATTGTCGCGCAAGGAGTCGAAGAATGAGCCCATATCGTTGAGCACGCCTACGGAGAAAATAAACGCTGTATATTTTATTTATACACATAGCAAAAGCAATATTATTATTTAATGATTAGTTTTAGCTGTTGTGTTATTAATCCTATGTAATAAGTGGAGTGCTTTGGATGAACGAGTGAAAACTGTCAATTTCAAATGTTGTCTTTGCCGCAGATGGAACTCTAAAGCCTTGCTGGTTGAGCCGGTCAGATTTTTGATTTGATTTAGCTGATTAGGAGCTATGAACCTTTCGAGTTTGGGTTGTCAGGTATTCTTTAGTAGATCAAAAAGATAAGGCACGGCTGTCTCATCGGCTGAGGTAGCAAACGAGATAATAAGCAATCAGGGCCAGGAAAAGTATTTTGGAGATACTTATGGATATGGATATCGATATTACTAGGGGCCTGTGAAGTTCAGATTAATGTCCTTGCTGTTTCAATGGTGTAGACGGTGCATTGAAACGGGGTAAAAGTTGCTATTTAAAAAAATCGGTTTTTTATTGGAATTTTATTTGATTATAAAAGCTTAACATATAAAATGGGTTACGTTACATGTTTTGTTGGGGCTTTAAAAGATAAATTAAATATAGGTATTATGTTTAGTATATGGCAAACTTAAAATGTAGTATACATCATAAGCTTTTCCATCCATATAATATTTAATGTACTTTAGGTGTAATAATTATGAGAAAACAAAAATATATTATAAAGAAGAGACTCCTGCAGAGTTAATGCACAAAAACAGTTGCTATCCGCGTGCACATTGCCGCGTACTTTTCTACAGGAACTTTTAGTGTTTAGTGTGAAGTAATGTATTTTACTGTGTTACTCCTGTGGTGTTAGTTAATTAGTGTAGTATGTAGGTGAGCTGGTGTTAGTGTTACTATTTATCTTCATAACAGTGTCCTGAAGTATAGTTATTTGAGAAAAATAAATGGTTGCTTGAAATCTAAGTAAGGAGTGTGTGGCTTCTTGTTAGACTATGTGGATGGCATACAAAATTGAGTAATTATATTGTTGGATTTTCCTGTTTGTGCCTATTGCATAGAATTAACAACAAAATTACCATAAAAGTTTTCATATTGTAGGATCATAAGAAAAGTACCTACATAATGTAGTTATGTTATAAATATTGCAAGGTATAAAATGTGTTGTGTCTAAGAATAAAATAGAACAATGACGAAGGGGTAAAATATGAAAACTTAGATGGTCATAGCAACATAACGACATCCAGGTAGATAAGCTGCTGATGTTGACATTAACCGGTCTCGGGTGTCATAAGAGTAAAATTTAAATTAAGATTTGTTAAGCGTTATCAAAAAGCATACTTAAAATAAGGTAGTGTAGGTAACAAATTGTTGTAAAGTATCGATTTTCATCAATGTATCTTAATCAATTGAAGGTTATAAATAATATCATTAGACAGTAACTTTGTTAGTCTGTTTTATATAATTAGAATGCGGTATACTGGCGTCAGTAAACTGCTGTTATTGAATAATGAAAAGCTTGAAGAATGGCAGATTAGTTACAACATCGACGGTATATAGCGGTGCGACCGGCTGCTTACCGACGCCGACATACGGCGTGACTGCCTTACCAAGCGCCGGAGTCGGCTGCCGTCTCCGGCGGCCCGAGTTTAACGCTGTCGCCACTGCGGATCGCTTTTCCGACACGCCCCTGGGAACAACCACACAATTATACCAAATGCATTAAAGAACTGCTCTAGTCTACATTGGAGATTAAGTTTATTTTGGTATGTTACAATCGATTGTACTATTTAACAAAGCCTAGTAGTGCATGAACCAACATTGTCGCATTAGGTGATGTACCTGTAAAGATGGTGTTGTATATAATTAATTAATAAAAATAAATTATCAAAATAATAAAATTATGCAGTTCGTCTCAATAAATAAAAATTACTGCAACTATTTGTTTTTCCTCTCAGCTTTCAATTTTGGCCAACCTACCTGATTTCATCATCAAGGTAATTCCTATCGTCGGCAACCTGTACCGGAGGCAGGTGTTGTCCTATGCCCGTGTACCCTAAATCCATGTCAATACGAGGTGCCCTATCCCAGCGATTGTGGGGTCCGAGTCCGATCCATGGTTTGTCGGTGAGCATGCGGAGAAGGTCCAGACTTTGAGCTCGGCCGTCCCGTAACTGCGCTTGGGCAGCTCCTGCAGATAAAAATTCAAATATTTAACACGAAAACTTGTTTTACTTTTCTATATGTTCTTCCCTGATTGGGCACCCATTCACAACACATTAATAAAGTAACATAAAGGAAACTCGGTTAATTTCCAATATTATATGTATATATTTGAAATTTGAATATACATGATTATATATTATTGCATGATGACAATAATAGATAATATCCTAGAAAATTTTCATCATACTATAAATACACAATAATGTAGTGAAGCCTTCTCGACATTCAATCAAGTAAGTTAATCGTAAACTTTGTTCTTGACATCTGTACTCATATGAATGAAGGAAAATAACTTTCATATTATCTATTGTACAGATTCTGTTTGTTTTGATCCAAAAATATTTATTAATGGACGTTACATTTCATAATAATTGTATCATAATAGATGCGTAAGCGAGACAAAATATAAAATTAGAAATTCTGAAATTAACTAAAGTATATTTAAAGTAACAGTAATATTGGTTGGCAGAGGTTAAAATTTTCCGTGATTTCCTTGACACTGTTGCAAGAGGGTTAGCTAGGTTGGAGTAAATAAAAAGGAAGGTACAAGATAAACTTTCCTCTCACTTGGAGTTTAATGAATCCAAGCTTCATTTTAAGTTATAATTACCGCAGCATATCATATTTTCTTTCTAATGATCAGCCCTTAGAGGAGGAAAAATGTTATAGGTAGGAAGGTGCATATAACTACTTAAGAAGTTGTAAAAAGTTTTAATGGTTGATAGTCGATACACTGGATATAACCATGGGCCTACAGACAATAAAGGGCTTTATAATAAAGTTCGTAGTAACGGAAATAAAAGTAGACAAAAAAAACATTGAATTTATTTTATTTCTACTTGATACGTTTATTTAATTTGATTTTCATTAATATCTAACGGACTTTTCCTTGTGAACTACATTTTTATTGTGTTTGGTAATTGTATTGTTAAGTTACTATAAATTGCAATAATTGTATAATTATGTGTCAATTTAAATAATGTTAAGGGGTATGATTACCTGAAGTAAATATATTTTATTTATTGTACAGTTAATCAGTTGATTTTAGTAGAAACATTTACCAGAATGGTAATTTAACAATTAATGGTAGCACCAGAAGCTAATCACATTGCGTGCTACGTGGTTAAATAGTTTTAAAAGTCAGTCGAGCTAATTAACTTAACAACGCGTTCTTGCAAAACGACTTTCTCGTACTCATTGACACTCTCTTTCCCCAGAGGGAACTAAAAATGGGCAGTGGCATCAAGATTCCTTCTAATTTCTGCCTAAAAGCTTTCCGTCCACAGGGAAATAACTACAAAACACACTGATATACTATTCTATATTATTAAAGAGAGCTTTAGCCATATAAACGAGTACTTTGTTTTTATACGGTAATTATTTAGAAAGGTGTTGAACCAGTGTCCAGTTATTACTAAGCAATTAACAGTATGTGTTTTGTGTATGTTGTATCACTAGTAAATCTTATTTGGAATACAAACTGTAGGCTACTATAATAAACATGGCTGTAATCTTACACAATTAACAGGAAACTGCCAATTACTCACTGTAATGAATTTGTAAGCACGTGTGATGTTATGTTGGAATGAGATTGAACTGCACGAGTCAGGCACTGTCTTCAATTAATTCTATCAAGAAATATTTTCAATCCTTTCCTATCAAATTTTAGTTAAATTAATATCTCTAAGGAGATCCAGTAAAAGTTTTTGAATTTAATTAATAATACAATAACATTCTATAATGACTTAAGACATTCAGCTTTTAAGCTGATTTAACAAAAATATTTTGAAAAAACTTTCGTAGTCGATCTGCTACGCTGGTAGGTAACTTTCGTAGCGACTGCCTAAATTTATTTTGACTTATTATAATGAAGTAGGATCGGGGTTTTGTATTGATGTAAGGATCTGAATACATTCAATAAACTACAAAGTGTCGAGTGGATTAGGTTTGTTCCCGTTTGTCGCAAAAACGAAAACGTCTCGTTTCCGCGTACTCCACGCGGCGAACTTTTTTATTTTCCGTGGCACGTGTGGTGGTACTGATGGAAGATTGATGGTGTCTCATAGTAATTTTATTGTACTTTCTTCCTTTGTTTACTATGTACAGTTTGAAGACACCTGTTGTAAAGCTTGTAATAATACCGTGTTAGAGGATTTGGAACAACTTAAAAAGCGAATGCTTGTATTAAAGTGATTATAGAAACTTAAGATACAAAACCGTCAAGGCATTTAAAGTTTTGTATACTTACATAGACTCTAGATTACAATTAAAATTATTATAACTCGGTAGATGAAGGTATTGATATTTTGTATGTACCTATACAACAATACAACAGATTTAGGAATAGGAGTTATTTACAGTATTATATCGGAATGTTTTAGTGAAACTATGGGCAAACTCTTGTTACCTTGCTCAATTTATACAGGTAAATTGGTAGGATTAATGAAAATGCGTCAGCATCTTAAATTTTGTCGATGTTGTAAATCTTAGCAAGGGTTATTGGGATATTAATGGTAGGTCATTGATGAGATGACATCCTGTTACTTCAGGGTCCACAGGGTTATTTTATCGACCTTAAGCCTACACTTAAGGTCGATAAAATACCATACTGTGTGTTTATTTATATTGGCTCGTGAAAATTGTGGGCTGTATCAAATAAATATGGTGCTTGAAAACATATGTGTGGATTTGATGACTTTTTGGCGTGAAATGGATTAACGTTTTGATCACAGTTGGCACCAAACATATATGCGAAACTTTTGATTGAGGAGAATACCTCAATGATCTCTCCCACCCTGGGTGTTCGACTCTTCTGTTACATAAAAATGAATCGCAAAATGTGTTGGTAAGCGCATAACTCAAAAACGCCTGGACCTGGATAAAAAGTAGAAAAGGAAAAGGGACTCTTTCGTTGTTAGTAGGACCTAAAGCACTTATGTGAACCTTACTTGTAAAATAAAAGAAGCTCACGTTTTGTTCATGATTAAATTTAAATTCTGATAAGTTAACGCGATTGAGTTATCTGTATAATTGATTTACTTTCCCAGGTGTCCATCGCTGTTCAACTGAATGAATAGAAAATAACCTAATACTTGCAGAGTGTATCCAATATGTTCATAGTGTTATTATTCTCAAAGGAAACTACATCGCGTGTCGTGGGTAGAAAAACAAATGATAGATAGCATTGTTGCTTACACATCTGCGGACGTAATCTACAAAAGGGAAGTTGACGCAAGGGATGAGGTTTTTCTCTTCCTTAATCCGTATGCAGTTTTAAGTGCATCTGTGTATTTTTAATCTGCGGTGGAAGCATTAGTAAGTCAGTTAGAGTTAGAAATTCAAACGTCGAAGGTATTTCTATTAGTATCCCTGTTTATTTACCTTTTTTTTTTAAAAAAAAAAGTACTTTGCCTTACAATATTTTTTGGATGAATGGATTTTCTCCTATATCGTGGGTGCGATTACAAACATACAATTTCACATACACAAGACACCCAGACCCGGAACAACAATTTGTGGATCACACAGAGTTGTTCCGTGCGGAAATCGTACCCGCGACACGTTGCACGGCAGCCAGTTGCCCAGCCACCGCACCAACAAAGTCAAAGTTTCTATTTTGATCAAGGGATTTTTATTTAATAGGTATACTTTCATAAAAAAACATTCATCGTTGCTTTGAAATAGTTTAATTGAAATTAGTAAGGGGCACAGACACTCGTGTAAAAATCTTATTCATCTTTACAAACTCCTGGTTATCGGTTGTTGACCTTTTAATATAAAACTTCTACAATATATATTAAGTAAACAGAGTACGTATATTTTCAAAGCAAAAAATGGCAAGCTAATATCTCAGTGAATTCGATCCCCTCATTATAAATGAAGGAAGGTAATTTTTTAGGACCCGTGTCATACGTTAACTCGCGACGATGGATACATCTCAATATAATGTTGACAAGTTATAAGATCATATAGGTGAATGATTCAGTGGTATCCGGTAGCGACATGAATCTTTGCCGACTTCAAACTTGAAATTAGAAATTATAACTCCAGGTTTCCTGACGATATTTTTCCTTCACCTTATGTCAGTGGGGTCTAAATAATCATAGAAAGTATATAATAATTCGGAAAAAGTCACATTGGTACTTGCCCGATTTCGAACCCGCACCCAAGCAGGCGCCTTAGCCACCACGACGACTTATGACGACTTATGATGTATTGAAGTGTGGTACAAATAAAAAATGTTGTTATAGTGTGATGTTGGGCTTGCCAACCTTCCTATAGGCAGGGTCTTTCATGTGGTAATGAGCGGTAGACGCGTCAATAAAACACAGAACCACACATCGAGGTGCAATTGAGATAACTAGTACCTAATTAGACTCTTTATTCAATATGCAACACTATTTATAGACATGAAAAGCTACTTGCTCATCTGTACTAATTAATATCTTATTAAATATCTTCTTGCTTTTACGATGAATTCCTACCGTGTACTTAATATTATCAATACTGATGAATCACTACGTCGAAAGGTTTTGTTTTCAAGGTATATATAAAATGATAAATCATTTTTGATTGTTTAGTATTTCCTTAAATAAAGTTTCATATCTTATACATTAGTTTCCTTAAACTCAGACTTATTAAAAGCTTAAAGTTAAGACAAAGTTAAGGTCAAAATAAAAATCATTTATATCAATTACTTTTGAACGTCAAAAAAAAAAAAAAACTTAAATAAAAGCTATTCGCTCCTTTCGACTTCCAATCCTATTTCATTCCAAACATATTCTAATAAAATACCATTAATAGTAGATATTCCGGTTTTATATTAGAAATATGAAATAGTTTCCTAACAGTATTGTTGTCACTACAAAGTGTCCTCCGAACTTTGGTGATACGTTTTGAAAAGGCTGGAGGTGTGATATTGTGGGGCAATCCGTACAATGCGTACAACTTGTACACTGCCATTTG